GTTCAATAGTTCTAAAACCTCTCTCCTTTCGATTTCTTTAAAAAATCATTCGTTCTCCCCCCTTTATCTTTTGATTCCACTCAACTGCGTTCCACAGACTCTGTTTCCCTTCTTGGATCACCTATAACTTCCTTGTTATGCTGGTCCCCTTTTATAGCTAAGCTTGCTTCTCGTGCTGCACGCAAGGTTGAATTTTTATTTCGTACCAGACGCTTTTCACCCCAGCTCATCTATTGTACAAAGCTCAACTCCGCCCTGCTCTTGAACACTATAATCACATGTGGGATGGGGCTTCGTCCTCTTCCCTTTCCCTTCTTGATCGTGTTCAACGAAAGGCCATCTGGCTAATCGATGATCCCTGCCTAACATCCAGTCAGTAGTCGCTAGCCCATCGTTGGACAGTTACTTCATTGTCCCTGTTCGACCGCTACTACTTTGGTTTTTTGTTCTTCGGTACTTGCCTCGGCAGTTCCTCTTCCTGCAACTTTTACCCACCCATCTCGTACTCAGACATCTAATCATCCTTATCAGGTTTCTGTTCTCAGATATCGTACCTCTCTACTCCAATCCCCCCCCCCGAACTGCCAAACTGTGGAACACCCTCCCTTTTATCGTTTTCTCCCCCAACTTACAATCTTACACTTTAAAACGCAGAATTAATAAACTGGATCTTACGTGAATGTTCCCCTACTCTCCCCTTTACAGTGTGCGATTTATCCATAGGGATTTCCCCGTTTACCGTAATTCACATTGTTTAATAAAAAAGCCAATGCAGTTCTACCGGTTTCTTTCGGGTTTTTGTTTCAATCTGATCACGTTCTTCGCTCGTACATCGTTCTGTTCTGGCTTGATTGCATTCACTGCCCTCGCACATTATCTCAGTCAAATTTGAATGGATCGATATTTCAGGTTGATACTGGTTCCTTGAACCAAAGGGACAGTGATTTTAGCGTTGGAACCTGTGCCGAGAGCATTCTGACCGACACTACATTGTGGTGATCTGGCACAGGTATTTCATTTATTGTGCCCACCTGAGGCAACTTTTAAGTGTACAGCAATAAATGTACTGCGATTAGTCATTGTTTTTATGTCTCTATAAGTAAGTAATCTAACTGCCTGTTAGCCTAGAATCCAAGCACATTTATACAAGTAAATAGGTTAGATCTCAACACATCTCCTGCGGATGATCAGTTACCTACCGTAAGCTCCATTCTGTGCATCTCCCCGGAATAGGCGGATTGTCTCAGCTAGTTCGGCATGCCCACATGCTTGAGCCAGTTGGACAGCTGTCTGATTGGCTAGATTTACCAAAGTTGGATCAGCGCCCCACGAGAGCAATCGGAGAACCGCTTCCCGTTGACCTGCAGAAGCGGCCACATGAAGTGGTGTATCTCCACTGGTAGAGGTCGGTATGATTGGATTCCCGGCAGCCTCACTCGAGACACTAGGAGAAGGTCGAACACAGCGAGAGTTCACGTCCGCGCCGTACATCACCAACAGATTGATCTGTTCCACACGATTTAGTCGAGCAGCCTATCAAGAGATAATTGCATAACAATTGAAAAAAGAACCAACACTCAGATTGTGACATCGAGATCAGATCCAGAAATAATGTTCCCCGGGAACTTTGAAACCAGTTATGATAAATTTCTCCCATTTAATGGAATTTATTAGAAGAACGAAGGGAGAAAAAAGTCCCAAACACGACAGGACACTGCTATTCATTGCTTTTGGTCGATCATCAAGAAAATTTCTATCGTATAACAAAATTTATGATTTTTAAGTTACACTTTGACATTTTGGGACATATCCAACCTCGAATCAGGGTACTTGTGCAGGGGTAAATTATTACTTCAAGTAATTCATCGACCAGATTTTACATCTTATATAAGAAAATGGTATATTGAGGAATGGTCGATCAGTCGGTGAAGAGACCGTGTTTAATTGGGCATGGAAGGATCACAAAGCAGTGAATCACGTGGTTCACATCACCAACACATCATCTATCACTAAGTTGTATCACGGTGCATCCGTGACTTATCTGTAGACATGGCAATTGGGTAACCTAATCTGTCGACTTCTGTGCACCTGGGTTTCGAGTGAACAAAGCGGTGCCCGTCACCACCACCGGAGTGGTTGACGTGTGAAGATAAACTAACTTGACTGAGTAAGGTTTGAATAGATTCGGAAGGCCGATTCGGTCTTTCCTTGGTAACTTGTATCCACTAATCCGCTGTTAGAACCGCATATGAGGACAGTGTTTTAAATGAGTCTTTGTTCACTGTTTCAGTAATTAGTGAAGCTGTGAATGGGCTGCACTGAAGGTCCTTACAATGCTCACCAACCGGGTTCCACTGGGTTCAGACTGGTTAAGTCTTTGAGGTTCCTTCAACAAATTTGGATTTGACAAGTCCCAAAACAGGACCAGAGAGCTGTTCAATGCTCTTTATCGATCATCACAAATAGAGCCAATGCATTTGAATACATTCAGCTAATGAGGAATCTTCCACATCAACGATCATCAACAGTGTCTGGTGTCTGTGAAAAATCGAATCGGTTAATCCCAAAATCTACCTTCCGGTTTGAAAAACGGTATTAGCAGGCCATATCAAGTTAGACACATGCAATGCTTAATAACCGGTAACTAGGACTGGTAGATGACACGATCCGTGTACAATGGGTCAGACCCCGAAATTCTCGCTCATTTCTGACCAATTCGAGCGACCTTTGCCGGTTTTAATAGAGGAAAATTACATCAACAGAACGATGTTTCATCTTGTTACGAATTGTCGTGTCTGATTGTTCTGCATGTGTCTGTCGATTTGATTTGGTTTCTACAGTAAGCGTAAGTTTATATGAGAAAAAAAAAACAATTCTGGAGATGCATCGTATGATCTCGACAGTCCGTGCTCTCTTCTTCTCCAAAACAGAGAAGTCATTTATCAACATATTATCTAAATCACAAAAGCTCCCGGGGGAAAAAGATGACCACAGTGGTAATATAGTCACGCAGGAGTTTTCGGGAATTCTTTTTTCCAGAATGATGTCAGTGAACCAGATGCAATTTGTATCGCCCAGCCTTTACAGCCACCCTCTCTCGTTCTGGGTTCACCACAATAGGGGGGGGGGGGGGGGGGGGAATGGG